GGTTTCTTCAAAATGAGGAGCAGGAAGTCTGAAGTGATTACATGACACGGGGTACGTATATCGGCATCTGGATGGGTAGATATATGAAACAAAATGAAAGATGAACATTATTTAGACTATTCAAAAACTATTGACTTATGGCAATATGGCGAATTGTAATTTTTCACCGTAGATGATATCCGATTTTAAGAATGCCTTCGAGTCAATTCGCGTGATCTAGGAAGTATTCCTGTGAAATCATAGAGCGATCAGAATGGGTCATAAATTAGTTGTTCAGTTGATCACTTCAGTTAGATCATATCGTGCACCTTCGATCGCTTGTCGCTATGCATTTGTAATCACAATGGTTCAGTCCACCTCCATGCTCGAAAATATTCGCCAAATCACTATCAAAGAACGATGTCCACATCAGAATTCGTAATGTTCCATCAGAATCGTTTAACTGTAAAAACATTAATTCAGTGCCTATTTTGTAGCCTTTCTTCAATGCATTTGAAAATTTCTTCAAAATTGTGTCTAAACTTTATTCGAAAATCAATCGAGCGATACATACATATCTTCAGATGATATGTACATGCATTTATATTTACTGCTCATTTATTTATTCATGTGGATAGGCAGTAATATTTTCGTAACCTGCTCGTCGAAGAAACCTGAACTGTCGAACACGTGAAATGATTGAATAAGTTGCTGAATTTTATCTATCTGATAAAAAGGGCTTATTGAAAGACAAACAAGTCCAACGAACACGATCAAACGCTTCCGTAAACGATTTTCTGATAACATATGCAATCGACTGAAAACAAAATCGGTGTATCACTGAATTTCTTTGATTTCAATTGCAAAGTGGAAGGAGACCGGTTCCATTTATAAGCGCTCCATCAGCCCGATGTTACTCACACTTATAACCTTATTCGCGATTGTCTTGCGAATTTCTACTTGTTGTTGCGTCGCGAACTCGCAATATCAGTTTGCACTTCTTCGTTTTCAATTCACCTATATTACCTCGTATTGCTGATGCTTATCACTTGTAACACACACCATTCATACAACTGCATTCTAATATCAAATGTCCGATATGTGGAATAGCACATCATTCAATTCATGCATCTTCGTTTATAGCTTCATCCTAATTCCTATCAATTCTGCAAAAATTACATGCATCGCCTTTACAAACACACTCAAAGCTTATGTGTCATTCGTAGAAATGCGTATTCATCGCTTTTTTTCATCCCAAATTCATCGTTTCATATATTATTCTACCTACTGTAAGCCAGGCCTAAATAATTTACTGAATGAATGATCATAATTACTCGCATGATTATAGAATGAGCATAATTGTAGAATGAGCATAATTATAGAATCAGCTGTTCATGAATGAGCATAACTGAACCATCACTATCTTCACCTTGAAATTATCAGTACGCTTAGTTGCACGATGCTCTGGGATGAAGGATATGCGAAAGTGTTAAAAAGTACTTCATAACAATTCTGATTCTCACGTGCAGTACATCCTTTCATGCTTGAAAAAAGTAAGGGTCTGCGTGTAGCTGAAAATATATCAGCAAACAAGAACAAGTGGTCAGCAGAAAGAGAGAAAACTTAGTTAGTTATTTTGCAATTTCCAGACGCATGCCCTCATGACCTCTCACAATAAAGGAACCATCAGATGATTATCAAAATGAGAAGTTGTACCACGGGGAGGGTAGCAGATTCACTTCCTACAATATTGATATAAACAAGATGAAGACGGGTGGGAGAGTTGGATTAAGAGATAGTCAGTAAATATGAATAAACGACCGACAAATCCAAGAATGAATTTTTGACAGCTGGAAATATAGGACCAAGAGAGTCCGAAACAGTGGCGTATCAAGGGAAGGGGGCGCGTCCTTTCATCTCATCCGCTCCACGTCTAGAGGGTACAGTGAAAGGGAAAAGGAGAGGGAAGGACAAATGGAAAAAGTAGGGAAAGAAAAAAAATGGGAAAACGGGAGAAAATAGAGGAGCAGAGAGAAAAGATAACGAATAAACGTTAGAAAATACATCCCAAAATTCAGCTGTTATTTAAAGCTGACCAATTTGCGT